TGTTCCACGTGCTGAAAACATAAGTTCTGAGTGTGAAACTGCTAAATGTCATCCTGTTTACAGGGAGACAGTAATAAGGGCATCAGTGTAAACGGCGTTATTAACTGACCGCTTGTACAAGTTTTTAATTTTTGCATAACTGATAAAACGTAACAATATTCATATCCAAACGGGTTATTACATCACATGCTAACAATAAAACATTTTAATTAACAGTAAACCCCCGCTTTACGCAAAGGGGACCACAGGAAAGTGCTGTTGGTTTTGTGCCAACTTCTAGAAAGATCTTGTAGACAAAAAGACCTGTTTCATTTTTCTGTTACATATAACAGGGGAGGTGGCGCAGTAGGTTATGTTACTTTGCCCGGTAGGTACTGAACCTCGTGCGGGGCATATAACTCGCTTGTTAAAACTGTTAATCCCCTTGAGGAAGTAATTCGCGCAACTGTACATTATAGCAACCAGCTGAGAAACGGGAAAAAAATCTTATATTTGCGAATAATAGGGACATATGGAGCTAAAAAGTAAAAATATGAGAGCGCATAAGACAAACGGCACTGCTGCGATTCGTAATGACCCCCCTAACAGCTGACAGTAATCAGTAAAAAATGCAATCCGCGAACATTAAATACATTACATCCTCGCATTTGAATATCTGTATAGCGACTAGCACGTCTGAACACACGCAATTTCCTTACGCGTACTTGCGTTTAATACCCGCGACGCCATCGGTATTCGTATCTTCAGGCAATGCCGAATGCAGTAATTAATCTTTGATACGGCCTAAAGTGCAGTCGCGTTATCAGCAAAGGATCATATACAAAAGGCAACAAACATCGTTAACAAATGCCACATAAGCAAAATTTTCCGGAGTCACGGCGATGCATTCAGCGATGGCCGACAAAATGGTTTTGAAAGCCCTAAACAATCGAAGGTCAAAGAAAATGTAAAATGAATATATAATTTAAATGATTAAACTGCAAAGCCGCTTGTACTAGAAAAGAATTCAAAACTGCGCAGCTTATACGCGAAATTCAACATAATCGACATAAGTGCCAGTAGTTTCATAAGCGGAGGTTACGTGAGGTTCCGCTGCAATGCTACTTCAAACTGTTTTCGCAATTCAAATTTATACTCCGCCTTAACTTAACAAGCCTCATATCTTTCAGTCGATGAGTGAATTTGATGGCCGATGGTACTTACTTAACATAGCAGCGCAATATCGTC